ATTGCGGAGCACAGGCTCCGGACGCGCAGGCTCAGCGGCCATGGCCCACGGGCCCAGCTGCTCCGCGGCATGTGGGCGCTTCCCCGACCGGGGCACGAACCCGTGTCCCCTGCATGGGCAGGCGGACTCTCAACTACTGCGCCACCAGGGAAGTCCCTGTCTGCGAAGTCTTTGGTGGGAAGGGGCCCAAAGGAATCCTCTCAGACAGAATGATTTCATTTCCTCCGGGGCATCTCTGTCTTTTCTACCCCGAGGCCTCTGCATATGCTGTTCTCTCTCCCGGAACAGTTTTCCTCCATCTTCTGCGCTTAGCTAAGTCCTGCTCTTCCTGTCACTTTCTCCAGGAAGCCTCCTCGGATTGTTGAGCCCTGACAATCCCGTTGCTTCATTACAATCACGTGCTTGCCTGGATCCTTGGCTAGAACATGAGTCAGACTGGAAACCCTGAAGGCAGGACCCCAGCTCCCACCGGCACACAGCAGCTGTTCAACAAATACCCATGCAGTGCATACCTGGATCTCACCTATGTCACTGGGCAGAGCTTTCCCGTAGCTATTGTGGGAATGAATGTGTCTGTCACATCCTCTTTAAACTGCCCAAGAAGTTTGAGGGTGAAACAGGAGGGAAGGGGGCAGGGCACAACCTTTGAAAGAATGGTTGACGTAGCCTGAGGACATGACATAAACTGATTAGAGCCGAGTGGGTCCTAGATGGCGGACGAGTGGGCTTCCACTAGACCGTGAGCCTCAGGATACGCTCACTGTAACACATCAGCAAGCTGAATGACACGCCCACAGGCGCCATGACAGTTCCAAGGCCGACCAGAAGGATCAAAAGTGGGCGGTGGCCCATTTCCCGGAAATCCCCGCCCCTTCCTGAAATAGCTGGAATACTCCTCCCACTCATTAGCCTATGAAATTACCCACCCCTATAAAAGCTGACAGCCCCAGACCCTGGTGCCTTTCTCGCCTTCTGAGGTGGCCCGCTCTGTCTGTGGAGTGCGCTTCTCTCTAAATAAATCCACTTCTTACCTATCACTTTCTCTGTCACTGAATTCTTTCTGCAACGAGACATCAGAACCTGAGCTTCGGGCTTCCCTGGCAGTGCAGTGGTTAAGAATCCGCCTGCCAATGCAGGGGACACGGGTTCGAGCCCTGGTCCGGGAAGATCCCACATGCCGCGGAGCAACTAAGCCCGTGTACCACAACTACTGAGCCTGAGCTCTACAGCCTGCGAGCCACAACTGCTGAGCCCGCAGCGAGCTGCAACTACTGAAGCCCACGCGCTTAGAGCCTGTGATCCACAACAAGAGAAGCCACTGCAATGAGAAGCCCGCGCACTGCAACAAAGAGTAGCCCCCGCTCGCCGCAACTAGAGGAAGCCCGCGCACAGCAACGAAGACCCAATGCAGCCAAAAATAAATAAATTAATTAAATTAAAAAAAAAAAAGAAGAACGTGAGCTTCATTAAGTCCTGAAACAAGGTGTGTGATCTCAGTTGGAAGACCATGGGTTTTGGCCGGGTTCGAGTCCCGGCCGCATGCGTTCAAGTCCCAATCTGAGGTGCACGGTTTCAGCGGGGCAGAGGTCCTCTTACCCAAAAAACTGGGTTCACCTCTTGGTGGGTGTCGAGCCAAAAGACACAGCCAGGCCAAAGATCAGGAGAAGGAAGGATTCATTACTTGCATCAAGTAAGGAGAACATGGGAACTTTCCCAAAGCCGTGCTTCCCCAACAGTAAGACTGTGGAGGTTTTAAGCTAAGGGTACATGCGTGTTCGTGAAGGGGCCCGAGCAGGGGAGAAGTCAGCATAGAATCGGGGCAGGGATCGACAGAGTCCAGGCTTCAGTTGACTGAAGCCACGGGGGTCACAGAAGGTCAGCATCTCCATCCCTGAGCTTCCCGTTGACCTGGTGGCTGAGCTTCCGGCTAATCTTCACCATTGACACCACTGAGCTGCGAGTCTTCACAACTGCTGTCTTATCTTGCCCTAAGGTATATATATGTCTCTCCCTTGGCTGGTTTGTCTTCCCCAGTACATCAACGCCATCTCCAGCCCGAGACACATCAAGGTCAACAAGGAGGGGATCGCAACATTTGACCTGGAGCTGGATCTCGAGTTCTGAGAACAATCTTTACCTGTATAAGGTGAGGCTGGAGGGGCCAGCGAGTGGGGGGCTCTTGGCAGGGATGCTGCTGGTCCTGGGGGGATGAGCCCCGCCTCCCGTGGAGTTCCTGCTTTGCTTGGGGTCAGCTCAAACCCTGGTGGAGACAGTCCAGGGAGGCCTCTGACCTCTCACCGAGCGACCAGGCCTTCCAGCCAGGGCACGGGGTCAAAAGAGGGTTCTGAGAAGTGCACCCCTCTCCTCTGAGCTCTCTCTCAGCAGACACATCGCTGCAAGGACTCCAGGAGTAATGACACATCAACCAGGTGGTGGTAGGGTTGGTGTCTGGAGAGGGGTGCTGCAGGGGGCGGCAGCAAAGCATCACACTGTCCCGTGGTCAGACTCCTCCTGGCTCCACCAGTTCCTGGCTGTGTGACCGCAGGAAAGGTGCTTACTTTCTCTGTGCCTTGGTTGCCTCATTTGTGACATGAGGATAATGCAGGACTTGTCTCCTGGCGTGTTGAAATGATAAACGAGATAGTGCGTGATTTGCTTCTCCGCTCAACCTCCCCCTGGCTGCCCGGCCCTTGCTTGCCCCGTCACCCCTCACCCCCAGCTCACCCCCGTTCCTTTGCTCCCTGCTCCCTCTGTCTGCCGTGCTCTGCCCCTCATCCACACGGCTAACTGCCGCCCCCCAGTGACTCCCCGGCCCCCCTGTGTAGTGCCTTGTGTGCCCAGCCCCATCCGGCTCCTGGACCCACATACTCTTTGATCTCCCCCCGACCCCAAGTTCTATCTCTTTCTAGCAAACGTTATATCATTTACATGTTTATGATGCTTATTATTTCTCTGTCTCCCCGTAGAACTTTAGTTTCCTGAGGGCAGGAATCTTTGTTTTATTCACTGATGTGTCCGAGTACCTGAAACAGTGCCTGGCACACATCAGGCAGCTAAGTGTTAGCTACTGTTAATACGGATCTTCCTCGACCTATGATGGGGTTACGTCCCTTTAAACCCCTTGTAAGTTGAAAATATCATAAGGCGAAAATACATTGAGGGCTTCCCTGGTGGCACAGTGGTTAAGAAAATGCCTGGCATTGCAGGGGACACGGGTTCGAGCCCTGGTCCGGGAAGATCCCACGTGCCGTGGAGCAACTAAGCCCGTGAGCCACAACTACTGAGCCTGTGCACCTAGAGCATGTGATCCACAAGAGAAGCCACCGCAATGAGAAGCCCGCGCACCGCAATGAAGAGTAACCTCAGCTCGCCGCAACTAGAGAAAGCCCGCAACAAAGACCCAACGCAGCCAAAAATAAAATAAATAAAATTAAAAAAAGAAAACACATTGAATACACCTAACCTACCGAACACCATACATAGGTCAACCCAGCCCTCCTTAAACATGCTCAGAAGACTTGTATCAGCCTAGAGTTGGGCAAAATTATCTAAGAGAAAGCCTATTTTGTCATAAAGTGTTGAGTAGCTCCTGTAATTGATTGAATACTGTACCGAGAGCGAAAAGCAGATGGCTGTCTGGTACAGAATGGTCCTCGGTGTGTCGGTGGTTCACCCTCGTGATGGCGGGCTGCCCGGGAGCTGGGGCTGCACTGCCCAGCACTAGCCCGGGAAAAATCAAAAGTCAAAATTCCAGGTACAGTTTCTACTCAATGTGCACCACCTTCGCACCATTGTAGAGCCAAAAAATAATCACAAGACAAACCCTTGTAGAGCAGGGACCATCTGTTTTTCAGCAAGTAGCCAGTCGTTCCAGGGCTTGGCTAAGGTGGGTGCGTGCATCAGTCGCTGGTAGTACTCTGGTTCCTCATGAATGAATGCCTGGGGGCCCGGCCCCACCCGCTCTTTCCCGGCCCCTGCTCGGGTAGGAGCTCTGCTCCACCTGCCGCAGTGCCGACTCAGCAATCTCGGGTGTCTCTTGCGTAAACTCAGCAGATCATTTACAACGTGGTAAGAGCCATGGATATTCCTAGAGCATTGCTTTCCCTCCACTACGCGCTCTGGGCCTCCACCCCGCCCCTCTCCGCCCCACCCCTTTATCGTCCAGCGCTGCTGGTGTTGTTTGGTGCCCCGGCCGGTCGTCGGCAAGCAGGATGGGGGCAGGAGGTGCTGTGGACCCACTGAGGCCCTGGAGCCCCCTCTTCCTCTCCTGGCCTCAGGATGGCGAGACGGCCCCCTGTGGCTTTGACAACCAGACCAAGCACTGCCTGCAGCATCTGGGGAAGCACTACCAGTTCCAGATCCGAGACCTGTGGCCGGAGGACGCTGCCATTTACCGGGTCAGGGTGCCGGATGCCGACGTCTCCTGCATGGAGCTGGAGGCCAGCAGTGAGTGGTCTGCCCTGGCGAAGTCTGAGTGGGGGGCGCTCATCTCGGTTCCATTGCGGGGCGTAGGTGAACGTGACACGGCCCCCCTCGCAGCTGGGGAGAGGAACGGGTACCCAAATGGTTAAATTATGATGATGCCTCTTCAAAATCTTGGTCCGAGGTCTGTGTTCTTCTGGTGCTGGGCTGGGCTCCACTGAGGGTCTCAGACGTGGGGTACCTGGCTCTCACCTCGCTCACAGGCTGTCCACAGCGTCCACTCATTCTCAGATCAGATCTGCCTAATTCTACGGCCTCCTCTCTGATGTGGGTCCTCCCCTCCCACGACCCCCCAGCAAGAATCTCCACCAGGTCGGCACGCTCCTGCCCTGTGCAGACCCCTCCCCTCCCTGCCTCCCATGCCCACACCCCACCGGGACTGTCCCTCCCCCCCCATCAAGCTCTGTCCCTTCCCACTGCCACTCCCCCCACTCCTGCCCCAGCACCTGACAGCTCAAGGGGCGTTGGAGGGTGGAGAGGCTTGGGGCGGGCAGGTAAATCATACAGTCGGGCTAAGTCAAGGCTGAAGGGGGAGTGGGTAGACCTCCAGCTGGCCTGGCGTGGTGGGCGCGGAAGGGGGCAGGGCTCTGGGGGCAGCCAGACCAGGCTGTGAATTCCGTCTGGACCACGTCTTAGCTGGGCAAGCCATATAACTTGTAAAGCCTCAATGTTCTCACCTGTAAAAGGGAAATAATAACACCTGCCTTGGAGGTGGTTGTGAGGATTAATCAGACGGCAGGCATAAAGCACTGTGCTCAGCCTGTTGGTTTCCTTTCTGTACCTACCTGCCCCCACATAGAACGGTCAGATTTAGAATTCCAGAATTCCAGAGCCCGAGTCTGACTGTTCACAACCTAATTATAACTCCTCACTTTGTGTGGGGAAACTGATACCTGGGGCAAGGAGTGGCCTGTCCAAGGTGACAGGGAGCTGTGGCTAAGCTGAGCTCCCAGCGCCCTGCGTCGGGTCACACTGTGTCCTGCTCCCCAGCAGCCGTCCTGCCCCAGGTGGTGGTCCTGCTGGCCTGTGCCCACTGCGGAGAGCAGGGCGATGCGATCCTCGAGGGCACTCTCTCTGGCCCCTGCCCCAGCGCCACTTGGCATTGCCGGCACCGGCCGCTCCGGCTGAGTGACAGATACGAGGTGTTCGTGTCCAGTGATGGGCTGACCCACCAGCTTCTGGCGAGAAGGGCCTGTTTCTCAGACATGGGCCTCTACTCCCTCGGCACCAAGCTCCACGCCTGCAGCGCCTGGCTGGTGGTTGAAGGTGAGTGGGCCACCCCCGGTCTTTCCCCACCTCTGCCGCGGTGGCGAGACCTCAGGGCCCAGGAGGGCAGGAGGAAGGTTGGGGCAGAGCTTCTGTTGCCAGTCCCCTGCTTTGGAGATTCCTCCCCCCCGCAGAGAATGAGGAAGGACCCCCTAGATCTATGCTTGATGCCTGCAAGTGCAGGCCCTTCACGGCCAGCCCAGCGCTCCTCAGTGGCATCTGCTCCACTGGGCACATATCCAGGATGGCCCTAACGTCCTGGACAGGGCTTGGGACAGTGGCCCAGGTCCACTATGGATGAGAAGCCCCTGGGTTGGGCCAAAGGATACCCTTAAACTCCCCTAGGGTTCTGGGTTCAAGGTGATCCTAGGAAACTGTAAACTGGACATTTGTGAGGCAGGCAGTAGGGCAAGTAGATGTTTTTTAAAACCAGCCACCTGCTCATGGCAAATGGCTTTTGGCTTCTGTATTTTCTCTAAAACTCCTCCTGAGCCACCTAGCAAGCTGGGGTGGCCTCGGATACAGGACTGGGGGAGGTGATGATGGGATTTATCCACCAATGAGCTGCCACATTCTGGCTTCCTCTGGAGATGGTCGGCTTGTTTCCCTGCTGGGGAAACTGAGGGTCAGGCAAAGCTGCTGGGGTCCGAGAGGTGGCTTGGCCTGAGTTCACAGGTCTTTTCTCCTGTCTTTCTCTGGGGGCGTGACCTCCCACCAAAGCTGAGAAGGATAAAAGCCTTCGGACCGCAAGCACCGACCACCAGCAGCAGGTACAAGGAGCCCAGAGCCCAGAAGATTCCAGAAGCATCTGTGGCGAGCGGGGGAGACCCAGAGAGCAGGACCCCACAGGGAGCTGCCTCCAGGGGGCCGGGCTGGCTTCTGGGCTCACAGCCGGCCCAGACAGAGGTGGCCTGGGTGGGCGCAGCTACACTTTGATGGGGGACGAGGAGGCGGCCGACTCAGCCTGGGGCCCTGGACCGGCAAGAAAGGGCTTTCTGGAAGAAGGGGGCAGAGTCACTCCTCTTGGTGAAAATCAGCTCCATGGAGAGGGATGCAGGGACAGGAGCCTTCCAGGGGGCTCAGGGGAGGGCCTAGAATCAGGGCTGGGCCTCGCAGGGGACCAACCTCGAGGTCGTAGCAGCGACAGCGAGGGGGACGGATGCTCTGGGACGGCAGGAGGCAGGAAGGCTGGGTCCCGGCATCCTCAGGCTGGAGGGCTGGGGTGCAGTGGGGGAGGGAAGGGGCATGGCGAGGATCCCAGGAGTTGGCTGCTCAGGCTCAGTCAGGAGCAGCCCTGGGATGCTCAGCTGGGACCTGGGACCAGAGAGTGGGCCCCGCAGGGGTCCCAGGCTGGTCATGTGGGGTCTCGGTCAGAAGGGGAGGGGATGGAGATTTTGCAGGGGCAGAGCCCGGATGAGGTAGGGGGAGAGGGCGGCCTGGG